CACTGGTTAACATATACACACCCAATATAGGAGCACCTAGATACATAAAACAAATACTAACACATAAAGGGAGAAACTGATGGGAATACAATAATAGTAGGAGACTTTTAACACCTCACTCACATCAATGGACGGATCTTCCAGACAGAACAGCAATAAGGCAACAGACATCCCAAATGACACAATAGAACAGTTTGACTTAATTGAAATCTATAGGATACTACATCCAAATAAAGCAGAAAACACATACTTTTCAAGCACATATGGAACATTCCTTAGGATAGACCACATACTAGGACATAAAACAAGGCTCAACAAATTTAAGAGGAAAGAAATTATTTCAAGCATCTTTTCTGACCACAACCACATGAAACTAGAAATCAAAGAGAAACGAGGAAAAAAACTATTACATGGAGACTAAACAACAAGCTACTAAAAACCAATGGGTCAACAATGAAATCAAAGAGGAAATAAAAAATATCTCGGGACAACAACAATGAAAACACAACCATACAAAATCTATGGGATGCAGCAAAAGCAGTCCTTAGAGGGAAGTTCATAGCGATACAGGCCTTCCTCAAAAAACAAGAAAACTCACAAATAAACAACCTAACCTACCACCTAAAAGAATTAGAAAAAGAAGAGCAAATAAAACCTGAAGTCATCAGAAGGAAGGAAATAATAAAGATCAGAGAAGAAATAAATAAAGATTAAAAAACAGAAAAATCAATAATAGCAAGAGCTGGTTTTTTGAACAGATAAACAAAATCAACAAACCTCTGGCCAGGCTCACCAAGAAGAAAAGAGAGAGGACCCAAATAAATAAAATAAGAAATGAAAGGGAGAAATAATAACTAACACTACAGAAATACAAAAAATCATAAGAAGATATTATGAACAGTTATATGCCCACAAAATGGACTACCTAGAAGAAATGGACAAGTTTCTAGAAACAGCCTGTAAAAACTGAATCAAGAAGAAACATGATTTGAACAGATCTATCACTAGAAGTGAAACAGAATCTGTAATTTAAAAAATTCCCTGCAAACAAAAGTCCAGGACTGGATGGCTTCATTGGGGAATTGCACCAAACATAGCGAGAAGAACTCATACTGATCCTTCTCAAACTCTCCCAAAAGACTGAAGAGGAGGGAACACTCCCAAAGCCATCCTATGAAGCCACCATCACCCTGACACCAAAACCAGACAAAGACACTAACAAAAAAGAAAATTACAGGACAATATCTTTGATGAACATAGATGTAAAAATCCTCAACAAATATTAGCAAATTGAATCCAACAACCCATAAAAAGGATCATACACCATAATTAAGTTAGGTTCATTCCAGGGTCACACAAATAATTCAACATATGCAAATCAATCAATCTGATATATGACATCAACAAAAGACAAAAACCACATGATCATCTCAATAGATAAGGAAAAAGCATTTGGCACAATTCAATATCCATTCATGATTAAAATCTCTCACCAAAGTGGGTATAGAGGGAACATATCTCAACATAATAAGAGCCATTTGTGACAAACACAGCCAACATAATACTAAATGGTGAAAAGCTGAAAGCCTTCCTGCTAAAATCTGGAACAAGACAAGGATGTCCACTCTCACCACTTCTACTCAACATAGTATTGGAAGTCCTAGCCACAGCAGTGAGATGAGAAAAATAAAAGGTATCCAAACTGGAAGGGAAAAGGTAAAATTGTCATTATGTGCAGATGACATGATACCCTATAAAGAAAACCCTAAAGACTCTGCACAAAAACTACTAAAACTGATAAATGAATTCAGCAAGGTAGCAGAATACAACATTAATATACAGAAATCATTAATACAACATTAATATACAGAAATCTCCTTCATACTAACAATGAAATATCAGAAAGAGAAAGTAAAATAAATTCCCATTTAAAATTGCATCCAAAAAAAAGAAAAGTATCTAGGAATAAACCTAATCAAGGAGGTGAAAGACTTATATGCTGAGAACTATAAAACACTGATAAAGGAAACAGAAGATGATTCAATGAAATTGGAGGATAGCCCATGCTCTTGCACTGGAAGACTTAATATAGAGAAAATGGCCATACTACCCAAAGCAATCTACAGATTAATGTGATCCCTATCAAATAACCCAGGACATTTTTCACAGAACTAGAATAAATAATCCTAAAATTTATACGTAATCACAAAAGACCCAGAATTGCCAAAGTAATCCTGAGGAAAAAGAACAAAGCTGGAGGCATAACCCTTCCAGACTTCAGACAATACTATAAAGCCACAGCAATCAAAACTGCGTGGTTCTGGCACAAAACAGACATACAGATCAATGGAACAGAATAGAGAGCCCTGAGATAAATCCACACACTATGGTCAATTAATCTTCAACAAAGGAGGCAAGAATATACAATGGAGAAAAGACAGGCTCTTTAACAAGTGGTATTGGGAAAGCTGGACAGCCACATGTAAATCAATGAAGTTAGAACACACTCTAACACCATACACAAAAATAAACTAAAAATGGCTTAAAGACTTTAATATAAGACATGACACCATAAAACTCCTTGAAGAGAACATAGGCAAAATGTTCTCTGACATAAATCGTAGCAATATTTTCTTAGGTCTCACAAGGCAAAAGAAATAAAAGCAAAAATAAACAAATGGGACCTAATTAAACTTAAAAGCTTTTGCATAGCAAAGGAAACCATAAACAAAATGAAAAGACAACATATGGTATGGTAGAAAATATTTGCAAATGATGAGACCAACAAGGGCTTAATTTCTAAAACAGACAAACAGTTCACACAGCTCAATATAAAAAAAACCCAAAAAACTCAATCAAAAAATGGGCAGAAGACCTAAATAGACATTTCTCCAAAGTAGACATCTAGATGGCCAACAGGCATATGAAAAGATGCTCAACATTACTAGTTATTAGAGAAATGCAAATCAAAACTACAATGAGGTATCACCTCACACCAGTCAGAATGGCTATTATCAAAAAGTATACAAATAATAAATGCTGGAGAGGGTGTGGAGAAAAGGGAATCCTCCTACACTGTTGTTGGGAATGTAAATTAGTGCAGTGACTGTGGAAAAACAGTATGGAGTATGGAGGTTCCTTTAAAAAGTAAAAATAAAGTTACTATATCATCCAGCAATCCCACTCCTGGGCATGTATCTGGAAAAGACGAAAACTCTAATTCAAAAAGATACACAGGGCTTCCCTGGTGGCGCAGTGGTTGAGAGTCCGCCTGCCAATGCAGGGGACATGGGTTCGTGCCCCAGTCCGGGAGGATCCCACGTGCCGCGGAGCGGCTGGGCCCGTGGGCCATGGCCGCTGGGCCTGCACATCCGGAGCCTGTGCTCTGCAATGGGAGAGGCCACAGCAGTGAGAGGCCCGCGTACCGCAAAAAAAAACAAAAACAAACAAAGAAACAAAAAGATACACACACCCCAACGTTCATAGCAGCACTATTTACAACAGCCAAGACATGGAAGCAACCTAAGTGTGCATCGACAGATGAATGGATAAAAAAGATGTGGTATACAACGGAATATTACTTAGCCATAAAAAAGAATGAAATAATGCCATTTGCAGCAACATGGATGGACCTAGAAATGATCATACTAAGTAAAACAGAGAAAGACAAGTATTATATGATATCACTTATAGGTGGATATCTAAAAATAGTACAAATGAACTTATTTATAAAACAGAAACAGACTCACAGACACAGAAAACAAATGTATGGTTACCAAAGGGGAATATGGGGGGAGGGATAAATTATGAGTATGAGATTACAAATACACACTACCATATATAATATAAACAAGGATTTACTGGATAGCACAGGGAACTATATTTAATATCTTGTAATAACCTATGATGGAAAAGAATCGAAAAAAAGGAAAAAATATATATAACCAAATCACTTTGCTATACACCTGAAACACAATATTGTAAATCAACTCTACTTCTATTTTTTAAAAATCACTTTAACATTAACTAAAATAGGACTTCCCTGGTGGCACAGTGGTTAAGAATCCGCCTGCCAATGCAGGGGACATGGGTTCGATCACTAGCCCAGGAAGATCCCACATGCTGCAGAGCAACTAAGCTGGTGCGCCACAACTACCGAGCCTGCGCTCTACAGCCCGTGCGCCACAACTACTGAGCCCACATGCCACAACTACTGAAGCCCACGCGCCCTAGAGCTTGCGCGCCGCAACTACTGAGCCCACGCGCTGCAACTACTGAAGCCCATGTGCTCTAGGGCCCATGTGCCGCAACTACTGAGCCTGCGTGCTGCAACTACTGAAGCCTGTGTGCCTAGAGCCCATGCTCTGCAACAAGAGAAGCCACCTCAATGAGAGGCCTGTGCACCACAATGAAGAGAAGCCCCCGCTCGCCACAACTAGAGAAAGCCTGCATGCAGCAACGAAGACCTAATGCAGCCAAAAATAAATAAAATTAATTTTTAAAAAAATTAACTAAAGTAAGATGTAAAGCAGGAAGGGAAATTTGCCATTACTAACTGGCACTGATAAGAGCTATTTTTACTAGAATAGACATTTACATAACAGAAGATGTGCATCTGCCTCTTTACATGGTAATCCATTTGAAAGAAAAAGCCTATCAATTTCATACATCATTTGTGAAAGAAGACATCATTCAAAGTGTCAAATCATAATGGCTAGAGGCTCTGGATTAGAGTCAGGATAAAACAAGATTCAGTAGCCACCTGTGTTTCATTTTAGACTTTTCATGTCTTAGCTCACAAAGAGGCACCCTTGACTTCAGGGCCCTTTGTAAATTCCACAGCTATTGAGGTTAAATGGTCCAATTGATACTTCATAGATGGAGGACAACTTAGAATTGAATTAGCATCTTAAAAGAATAATACAGGGCACAATAGTATATTAAAAAGGAATACTATACGTGAATAAGAACCTTCTTCTATAAATATTTGGAAGGCATACCTTATTTTCTTTGTATCTGGTGAGATCTGCTACGCAGTATTCCTTGAATAATTTATCATAGTATTTCTTTGCAAGTCTCTTCTCCCTAGATGCATTAAAAAAAATATAAATCTTACATATTTAGAAATTCAACCATTGTTTGCTACTTGGAGGCAATGTCAAATAAATAACACATATGATATAAACATTAATGTTTTAAAAGAGGTCATTACTTACATGTGCACAGAATATCTGAATATTAACTATTAATAGTGGGTCTCTAGGGAGGGAAGCTGGAAGACTAATAGTCAAAGATGAGGAGACTGACTCTTCACTTTTTACCCTCTGTAATGTTTGAATTTTTAAAACCATTTTCAGGTTTTACGTTTTCCCAAAATATTTTTAAAATTTAAAAAGAAGCATACTACTAGACAACAATATTGTAAAAATTTTATAAATTATTTTTTAAAGACAAAGTCAAGCAATAAGAAGTCAGTTAAAATTGTTAAAAATTACCAGAAGAATCAAACCAGATTCAATAATCTGAGGCACGGTTTTATGTTCTCGATTCAGAACTGTTCCATGCAGGGGCCAAATGCTTTGGACAGGTGACAAAACAAGAAAACACTCAGGGAGCAAGAGAGATAGGACTATAGCATTTGATGCATCATGTCTCACATGGGTACAATTACCAATTCATGTCCATTTCATCCTCCTCATTCCATAGGAATCTGTGATTTTCTCGTATAACATCCATGTCTATCTTGTCATTTTCCCTGAAAAATAAAACAATTTTAAATTCAATATGAAAACAAAATTAGTCAAACTTAAGTTAAACAGTGTGTGAGATTTTTGGGCACCTGAGTAAAAATAAGATACACAAAGATAGTTTTATATGTATGTATGTATGTATGTATATTTATAAAAAGTATTTCAGTATTTTCAAAAGGCAGTTATGAAGAGTGCTGCTACAGAAACAAATGGATAAGGAATCCACCCATCTCTAGAGCTGGTTCAATTATACAAAGGGTGCTAAATTACCAAAACTAGGATGAGAAATCTGAATGAACACTAAATGGATAAGGAAGATGAATGAAAATAAGTTTCAGAATCTAAAATAAGTAACACCATCCTATTGTGATCTAATTTTATAAATATATAAAAACATCTTCCACACCTCATTTTACTACATCTTCCTAGGAAGACTGAGTAAGGAAGAAAGAGAAATGAAGGAGATGATTTTTCAAGATGATAACAGATTGGGGACAGAGCAAGGGAGTGTTGAGAAATACAGGCTAAATTCAGAGGAGAGTTAAGTTTGGGGCTGATGAGCTGGTATAAAGTTTTTTAGGGCACTATCAACTCGGAAAATCATTAAGTAAAGAGAAAAAAACCCACACAAAACCAAGAGGCTCTGACAGAAGAGCCTCAGATATAAGAAGGAATTTCATGTGTGGGAAATGTTAGAGTGAGGTGTCTTGTTTGTCCTATCTTTTAAAAAGCAATCCCAAACCTGAGGTCTAAAGAGTTCATTATTTCAAATATCCTTGTGGGGGGAAAAAAAAAATCACTGCATAATCAGGCACATGAGTATTCCCCACACAATCCTGTTATTGCCAGAATCAGCAGGCTGCCTGAGGCCTGTTGCCAGAGAAATGGGGTTCATGATGAGTTGCTTAGCTAGAAGCTTCGAATGGCCTCTCCACCTTATAACAACAAAAACTGGAATGGAAAGCAGGAGAAAATGACAGAATCAGAAGATATAATAGCTGTGAGTCTTCAAAGATACCCATACCTACCTCCCATTATGTGAAATAAACTTTATGACACTTACCCCAATCGCCTGAAATCTTCTTTTTTGCCACCATAGTATAAAATATAGTCATTTACAAACTTTGTATGCCTTTGATACTGAAATGCAAAAAATTAAGGATTTTATTTGTTCAGTAGTTGGGTATCAATGACATATTAGTGAGCAGGGAAAAAAAAACATAGTATGAGTCTATTTAGCTTTTAAAAAATACACACATATATACTATACATGCTTATAAATTTAAAAAAGATATAAAAGGGTAAATATTAAACTGTTAAGAGTGAACATGGTACAGTAGAGGGGCTTTCACTTTCTACTGAATACTCTATATTGTTTTGATCATTTTCAAGCAATAACTCTCTGGAGAGGACAGCTTCCTAAATACAGCCTCACACCACCACTCATTTTAATCATCAAAATATGAAAAACAAATTATAGTTTCTAAAGTTAAAGGTGAGGAGTAGAATTTTTCTTCATTATAAAATATAATTTAGCTATTTCAGTAACAATAAAGCCTCCAAAATAGAAGATGTAACTTTTATTATATTAAATCCTAACATGAGGCTTTCAAAAAGAATATAAAAGATCACATGTTATTTTTTACACTCTCTTTTAATATACAAAGAAGCTACAGTCATGTTTATTTTCAGTGCAATACAACAAGACACATGAGCATTTTACTTGTTTTAAAAAGCTCCATGGTACTCTCTCTAGAGCTGAACACACACATAACAGAGCTGACATAATATTGTCTGTGACTACAGCCTGTTATATTAAAGTTATTTAATTGATCACAATGTGTTCTAACAGAATAGCGAATCAAAACATAATTCTGAAATGAGCAAGAAAGCAATTAACATTTCAGAAAATAAAAAAGAGAAAAGCCAGATACCCAGAGATCTGGATTCTAGCTCTTGGTCTATCACAAACTGGTCATGTGACACTGGCAAGTCACTTAAATCTTTGAAGAGCTCAAGTCAGCAAACTTTTCCTGTAAACAGTAAATATGCAGGCCATACGGTCTCTGTTAAAACTACTCAACTCTGCCACTTTAGCATGGAAGTAGGCACAGATAACACCTAAATGAATGAGCACAGCTGTGTTCCAATAAAACTTTTATTTACAAAAGCAGGATCTAAAATAAAAATCTAAAATCAGGTGGGACTTTGCTTCCTGGAAGATGGAGCAAAGATGTACAGTTGATCCCTGAACAGGGTGGATAGAACACCCACCCTCCTCATTGTCCAAAACCTGCACATAATGTATAATCAGCCCTCTGCATCTGTAGATTCAACCAACTGCAGATCATCAGTACTACAGTAAAATACCCATATTTATACAAGTAATACAGTAAAATAAAAATCCTTGTATAAGTGGACCCTCACAGTTCAAACCCTGTGTTGTTCAAGGGTCAACTGCACTTCTCCCTATTCCTCCCACTGAGAACTAAAAACCTTGGAAATTATATATAAAACAAACATAAGACTCTGCAAGGTAGAGAGAAGAAGGCAGACCAGCTACGGACCTCAGGCCCCATGGTATGACATGGTGCTGAGTACCCCAGGTTTTCTTTTTGCTTAATAAATGCCAGACTTGGAGGTGAAGAAGCTGGATAGCTGGAAATACCAACAAGCACAGACAAAAGAAGTCCCAACAAAAGTCTGTTCCCTGTAACAAAATAATCAGGAGAGAGGCAGCCTAACAGGAAAGATAACTTTTAGGCAGTAACTACTCTATTCCAGCCAAACACTCCAGAAAATCTACGGCCCCACCTCCAGCCATGCAAGAAAAGGGGATCTAGACTTTCACCCTCACCAGGCTGTAACTAGATGCCCCAACACCCCCAATTGAGTGGTGATAGAAGGAAGAGTAGATGTTGAAATGCTAAAGGAGCAGTGGCAGATGAGATCCATGGGAAAGCTAAGCTATTGGGTTAGGAGATAAGAGGAATAAATAAATTGGTGACAAGAGAACTTCTATAACTTAAAGAAAAGGATCAGGAACAATAAAGTGAAAGTGGTGACTAAAGGATAGTGGGTATATCTAATTGACATCGCCTCCTTCTCCCTATCCTGACCGCAGTAATAAATACCCAGAAATACTTTCACTCTCCAATATCCCCAACAGTAATATGGATGGCCAGTGGTAGCGGCTTGTGTAATAAGCCACAGTCTCACCAAAAAGTTGAGCTGAGAGATGGCTACCACAGGGAAACAAGGTATAACTTAAAGAGAGCCCCAATTCACGCCTGAAAGCTGAAGCCACAGCAGGCCTGAGACAGTCCACAAACAGACCTATTATTTTTTTTCATTTTTATTTTTTCTAACATCTTTATTGGAATATAATTGCTTTACAATGCTGTGTTAGTTTCTCCTGTATAACAAAGCGAATAAGCTATATGTATACATATATCCCCATATCCCCTCCCTCTTGTGTCTCCCTCCCGCCCTCCCTATCCCACCCCTCTAGGTGGTCACAAAGCCCCGAGCTGATCTCCCTGGGTTGAGGCTGCTTCCCACTAGCTATCTATTTTACACTTGGTAGTCTATATATGTCCATGCCACTCTCTCACTTCGTCCCAGCTTACCCTTCCCCCTCCTCGTGTCCTCAAGTCACTCTATAGTCTGTGTCTTTATTCCTGTCCTGCCCCTACATTCATCAGAACCTTTTTTTTTTTTTTTTTAGATTCCATATATATGTGTTAGCATATGGTATTTTTCTCTTTCTTACTTCACTCTGTATGACAGACTCTAGGTCCATCCACCTCACTACAAATAATTCAATTTCGTTTCTTTTTATGGCTGAGTCATATTCCATTGTATATATGTGCCACATCTTCTTTATCCATTCATCTCTCAATGGACACTTAGGTTGCTTCCATGTCCTGGCCATTGTAAACAGAGCTGCAATGAACATTGTGGTACATGACTCTTTTTGAATTATGGTTTTCTCAGGGCGTATGCCCAGTAGTGGGATTGCTAGATCATATGGTAATTCTATTTATAGTTTTTTAAGGAACCTCCATGGTGGCTGTATTAATTTACATTCCCACCAACAGTGCAAGAGGGTTCCCTTTTCTCCACACCCTCTCCAGCATCTACTGTCTGTAGATTTTTTGATGATGGCCATTCTGACCAGTGCGAGGTGATACCTCATTGTGG